TCCTGCTAGTGGCGAGATAGTAGCTAAATTATATCTATATACGGTATATTTTATAAAAGACGGCGTCATCTGCTATCATATTTTCTAATGACTAGACAATTAAAGATTGAGTATTTAGCTAGGAGTATTTAGCTAGTCGCGAGTTAGTGACTGACTAGAAAACTTATCTAGTCATTACTATCTAGCTACTAGTCTTGAAATCTAATTTGCTAGACACATTTCTGCTTGAGCTATTACCGCTTCTAAAAAACTTCCTTTGAGTTTTCCTTTATATGCAAAAAAAAACCAAAATTTTCGGACTTCGCATTGTCACTAATATTAAAAATCTAACCAAAAATTTACGAAACATATTTTGGAAACATATTTGTTATAGCACTGAAATCCGGGAAACTCACAAATGATCATTTCAGCAATTTTATCAAACATATACTAGAAGATTATTGTAAGAAACATGAATTCTTACTTATTCTGTATTTATAGAGAAGTTAAACAGATCCGGTACATTTTAAATGTGTTCACAGATGACAATTGTATCTTGACAGTTGAAATTATTCTTCCTCATTGCACCCCATATTGTCAATCATCGTATATAACCATATCATATTCATTCCTTTCATTAAGTGAAAAATTATTAAAAAAATGTAAACCTTCGTTGAAGTCTTACAAATACACGACAATTATTCGCAAGAGAAAATACTATACAAAAAGCCATTTCTCGATTCATCACCAATTATCACCTTCTTTTTTTGAACACATGATAAAACGTATGATTTATATTTAAATTAACTTCAGAAAGAANAAAGAACTGTATTTAATAACCTAAATTAACTTTGTTTTCCACATCAAGTTAATGCAACAATCAAAATGTCATTTGCACAGTGCGTGCGTTTATAAAATGTGCAGTTTTTAAGGAATATTTATGTTTCACATGTTTTTATGACTTATCCGACAAATTGTAAGATAATAATACTACATAAGACATATGAAAAAGAAAGAGAAATTAAATATATGCGTTCGCACTCGTGTGTGTATGTAAGTCACTCGTTATGTTATGTGAAAAAATATTGTTTTACATATAAATAAAAATATATAATATTATACTTTATAATATATATTAACATAATAATAAATATAATTATTAAAAAAAAAAGAAAATACTAGAATCGAATTCAAGAACAGTATATTATTAATCAGGCGCTCTACCTACTGTGCTACGCGCTATTAAAAATGATTTTTTCGTTTCGACTTACATGGTATATTATTGAATATTTGAATTTTCAATTATGAAGAAAATATTAGCAAGGTGCATTCGAATAAAAGTTAACATAAAAATCCGTTTATTTTAGATATACTTTCATTGTATGCAAACAAATAAAAATCGGTGGAGGTCAGCTCCACCGATCTTCTTTTTATAAATTAGAGAACAAAGAGAATGCATAATTATTTACGTTAATATAATAGATATTTTGATGTAATTAAAATTGCAGTGCTATTTGTAACGAATACAACAATGTATGATATAATGGAATTATTTTACGAATTCTGCAAAAGAATTTTGTCGATATAAAGTTTTATGGGTGGCTACTAACTATTAGGTTGGTGCATATGAAATGTCGGATTCTTAAGTGATTGTATAAAACTGTATATCTTTCTTCAAAAGCTGTTTATTCAATCAAAGTATGCTCCATTCGCTTCAATACACTTCTCCCAACGAGATTTTAAAGCGTAGATGCCTGTCTTAAAAAAATTTTGGTCTTTAGAATTAATAAACTCTGATATCGAGTTTTTTAGACTGTCTTCATTTTCATGGTGTTTGCCTCTTAAAAACAGCTCTAAATGCTTGAAAAAATGAAAATCGGTCGGCGAGAGATCCGGTGAATATGGTGGATGCTGCAAAACTTCATATTCCAGTTCGTTCAGTTTCGCAATTGTTTTGTGCGATGTGTGCGGCCGAG